ATCGAATTGGCTGAGAAATGCATGAATTCTGATCCACAAAAACGACCTGGTGCTTGGAATGTTCATAATACAATAAAGAGTTGGCTTAAGGAGATAACTAGTTCAGATGATAATGAAATTAAAAAGCAATTCTTGGATGCTGATAAAGTTATTAAATTATTGCCGAGACCAAAGCATTCTGAAGGAATGTACACTAGCAAACTTATTAGCACGAAATTAATTTCAAAGGCAATTAAAGGTATTTTTATTTTCAACTAATATACTACACTGGTATATAATAGCCAGTAATATATAGTACAAATTATAATTTATTTACTATATATTTACTAGGTAATATATGTATTTAAACATATTACCTCAAATCTTAACCAATATTGTGGTTATCAGAATAGCAAATGAGTTCCGTAACAGAATTTTTTACAGTATCTCATGGCAGAAATTATGATTATTTTAATATGATAATTTCAGTGCAAACTAATTCAACCCCATATTGTAGCCACCGAAATAGCGAGTAAGTGCTATAACAAAATTCTTACAGTAACTCAGATAGAAATTACAATAATTTTAACTCAAAACTTAACCGCTTAGAAATCACTTACAATAATTTATCTATGTCTCATTTTATTTCTTATTTACGCTTTATTTAGTATGTGAGCATAATGTTATTTATTGATAAACATACAGTATTTAAGCTATTCCTATATGCGATGATATAGTCTGTAGATTTACTAATTATCTATATATTTGATTTAGTTGTAATTAACTTATCAATTGAAGTCTTTAAAGTGAGGTATTTTTTTCACAATTAATTTCTTATTTGTATTGATTTGTATATAGATGAGTATAACTATTGATCATCAATTGAGCATAGTTGAGCATTAATAATCATTTAATATAAGCTATATTTAGCTTATTAAATTAATCTTCTTTATAACAATCATTTATTAAAGTAAGTACCTGAAATATATTATTCATCTTCATCAAATTTTTTTATCTGCATTGATTCAGTACTGTATAATGGTTATTTACTTATTTAGTTTGTAAAATAAGTCATTTCTATTTTGAAAATAGCTATAGCAACAACAAAATTTGGACCTCATGACTATGGGAAATTATATTTAAGGATGGGACGAAAATTTGGTCTGCTATATAATTGGTTAACCTACAGTAATGGGAGATTTAAAATTAATAACTTCTTACAATGATATTGTTTTACCGACTGTATGGGAAATTGAAAATGTCATTTTGAATTTATTCTTTGTTTATCAATTGAGCTATTTAACTGTTAAGCAAGGCTTTTTAATTTCGTTAATTTGATCTGCGGTCATCATAATAGTGATTTGTTAGCTGATGTATAATTATTAATTGAGATATTCAAAATATTATCTAACTCTTTTACAGCATTCGTGCTTATTTATTCAATTGATGAATAACGATTGAGATTATACAATTTGTTGAAGTGATTCTTATTATGAATAAATTTTAAATTTTAAAATTAGTTTGTAGGGGAAGCCAGTGGCGCCCCATTTACACTTGTATATGATAAAATAAAGACAATTATTACTTAATAAAAATTTTTTTGATCTACGAATCTAATGAAGACCTAATTCTGTAATTAACATCCGAATGACTCCGAAATCAAAATCACATATATGGCTACTTAAATCGGGCGGTGAAGCCGCCTGCATGTGCTACTCTAGTTGTATATTTCAAATAAAATCATCTATTTGTAAAAGTACAAATGTCAGATTCTACAATAATTTAATGGATTATGATAAATATAAGTACACCTTTTTCAACAGAAATTTGTCCTATATGGATAGTGGTTAACCTTCGAGGAATTTGGTATTTTTAATCGCGTTAAATTTTACTTATTTGTTACACACAGATCTAAGTGCTTGGATCTGGATTACAAAATCCGGATGTATCCGGATATAAAAGGAGTGCCTACAATCGGGTTATCTGTAGGGATGGTAAAAAAAACATTTTTCACCGGTTTAAAACATGCGATGTTTATGATTTTGATATGCGGAGCCTAAATTGAATGCATTCGGATCATAATCACATGTTTTAAAACGGTGAAATATGGTTTACCATCCCTATATCTGTGTGCTAAATCTATGTCCGATGCTAGATTTACCATAGACGGCACACAGATAACTAACTGTACACAAAATATACTTGAAGCCCGATTGTAGGTTTTCCTTTGACGGCACTCATATAATATTGATCATGTATCGATATTTATCAACGCATGACTCAATATTAGTGTTATCCGGCAATTCATGATCATAATGCTCAAGTCGTGATTGGTTAACTGTGTTTTAATTCGAATAAACATGATTACGTTGTAACACATGAAAAAAAATAAAGAAATTTTTTCATGATTAATAAGAGTTTGCCGGATAAATATACCTTATAAAGTTATAGTTAATATATCAGAAGCCCCAATAGAGTACATAAAATTAATGCAAAAAAATGTGAGATACCATGAAGTACGTACTTTAGGTACATACGGTACAATTATTTAGTAAGAGATAAAAGAAAAGAAAAAGGAAACAGTGAATGGAATTTTTTTTTTTTAAAAAAAAAATTGACTTAGAAAAAAAAATGAAGGATAATATTATTTGTCCGGCAAACTCCTACGATCATGAAAAATTTCTTTTTGTTATTTTTTCACGTGTTAGATGTAATTGTTTCCATATTCAAAATAAAACTCAGCGAAACGGAAAATTGTCAAAATACAGTAATTTGGCTCATTTGCCAAATTGTCCAATTATGTATACTTTTGAATGCTAATATCGCACCTGTGGTGTTCAATACCACAATGAGTTGCAGTGTACGTATAATTTTTATCAAGACAAAAATTAAAATTTTGATTAAAAGCTGGGATGTATCAAAATTTTGCAAGGAATTTTTTTTTATTAGAGCTCAAAAAGTGGGTTCATAGATAAAATTTTAAGTTATTCTCTTTTTTAAAAAACAAAAAAACTTATGTTACACCTGATCTTTAAAAATTATTGTGGTGTTAACAATGCCGATCTAAATAGCTTATGAAAAAAAACAAAAACTTTTTATAAAGACTTATATTTAATTATTGAAATTCCTTTGCCGCGGAGTCATCATAATTGTGTTGCCATTGATAAAATTATAAAATCATTACTCCTTTTTTTTTCTAAACGCGAAAGCCTTTTAAAAATGAATCAATCTCAACCTTTAATACCTCAACCTCTGGTAGCTCAACCTTTAATACCTCAACCTCTGGTACCTCAACCGTTAATACCTCAACCTCTAATACCTCAACCGTTAATACCTCAAACCGCTGATATTCCTGTAAATTCATCATTTGATAATCTTAGTGCTGAACAAAAATATGAAAATTTAACTAAAGGTACAGCAGATCTATTCAACACCAGAACACAAGAAACGCAAGAAACAGAAAATCGGTCAATTCTTCAATTTTCAACTGATATTTTTTCAGGGTCTTCTTTTCATTAGGAAAATTTCTGATTTTTTTTGAAGAACTTATTTTTTTTTTAAAAAAAAAAACCAAAATCAAAAAATTTAAACAAGTTTTTTTGAAATAATTTATTTGACATCCGGGTGAACTATCATCTTGATATGCAATATGACTACTATAGCGATAGACACAGATGATTTATCTTTTCTTAATATGCAATATGACTACTGCAGCGATAATCATGGATGAATTAATCTGCATTAATCTGCAATATGACTACTATAGCGATGGACAATTCGTGCGTTCAGCAAATGTGTATTAATTTTGTAGGCTAAATTAGTGTTGTTAACTGGAAGCTACTGGAAGACAACTGGAACTCCACTGGAAGAAAATTAATAGTACTACTGGAACTTCTACTATTACAAATTTCCAACGGAAGGTTGAGCAATATGTAAGCAAAATTATACCCTGGTCACTATATCAAGATCGCAGGGCATAAATCAGTTATGTCCTGGGCACTATGTGATAAGCGGGACTTTCAGCCCAACTGCCCGGGAAATAACTATTACAAATATGACCGAATTTCAAATTTATAATTTCACTGCTAACGATAATATAAAAAATGATAATCTAGTTAAATAGTGAACATTGTTTTATAAACCATATATTTTTTTATTTGCTTTTTTCTTTTGCGCTTTAATTTGTTATTGTTTTTTTTTTGTTGTACTAAGGAAGCCCGATCCTTAATTTTTTGGTCACATTTATATTTAAGAATTTTTTAAATAGAAAAACTGATAGCATATTCATTAATAACAATAAAGAATCGTATCTTGATAAACTTCTTAAGTGTTTAATTTTTTTGGAGCGAATCTGACTTATTGAAATGATAATGTTAAGTCCTGATGCTATATATTATCATTATTACTATATTCTACACTGTAATTATTACGGGAAATTTATGCTTGCATATTAAACATGAATTAATTAATCACACCTGCTTCAATGAATTCCCTATTTTACTAATATCTTCAGGGAATCCACTATCTAACTACTATGGCTCACCAATTTGGTACACAATTCCAGATATTTTGATATATATATATATTATAAATTTTACCAAACTAGAACATCACCTATATCCGCAGATTCTCAAATGTAAATGAATGACTCATTAAATCTGTTAGCATCCCATATCAGCAGATTATCAACAACAAATGAATGCTTTATATTATTCATTCATTTCATCTCAACAATGAATATCCTGTAGTTGTTTTATAAGCATCACTCATATCCGCAAATTTTTGAAAACTTTGTGTTCATGCCTTTCAATTCCTACTTCTCTTTCATAACATACGCTAGTGTTAACATTCTCTTAACATTACTCATGTCAGCAAACTTTTGAAATCAACGAATGCCCTATGTTCATATATTTCATTATAACATTAACCTTATACTTTACTAGCATTTCACAGGTAATAGATAATGTAAGTAATAATTACTTATTTTTTTCTCACCCAGTGCCTACTCTTATGTATTATCACCAATCATTACTTATGACGAATGATTATTACTTTGATTCAATACTCTATTAAAAAAAAGAACTCTCGAAAAAAAAACCGAATTTGTACAAAAAAACCCATATTTTTTTTTTTGCACGAAAAAAAAAAACCAATCGTTTATTACAACAATTTTTCTTCTCTTTCGATTGGATTCTTCCAAATTTCTAACTCGTTGTTCTAACAGTATCATATACTGTATGTATATTTCTTTTTTTTTATTAAAAGCCTTCAATAAAATATATATTTCTTTTCCCATACATTTACATATTAAGTATCAAAGTCGTATAGATTTTCTGGTAACTTATTTGCGGCTTACCAAATAAAATTTATCGTATTTTTTCACATTTTATATAATTTTGTCTATTAGTTCCTTGACATTTCAAATTTCATATATTATAGACGTTTCAAAACACTAGCTATAATTAGAAACAAACAGATTTAATAGAAAGGCGTATGAGCGGAATTTTTTTTGATTTGGTGGTTAATATTTTCATAAAATAAACAAATCAGATATCCGGATAATCCGACAAATGGGATCTTTGCTAATAAATCTATTTTTAGAAAAAAAATTCATAGCAAAGATCCCAAAGGTTCGGATAACTATATATTACTCGGCAAATTCTGTTACAGTACGTTTATAACGTCTGAAACTAAACATCAAAGATATATATCTATTTAAGTTTAATAACGTAGGAATCAGAATTATATTGTGAAAATTTAAACCACAAACGGACCAATATCGAGCAAAGGTTGTGAAATTATGGACTTTGAAATACCAAATATTGTCGATGAAGTCTTAGAAATTGGGATTGATAATTATTAGTTGCTAATTTAATTTTTTTTTTTAAAAAAAAAAACTAAATAAGTTAGTTAAATTATTAATTAAATTATTAGTTAATGAATTTATTGTATAAATATATCTGTGAATATATATGTGCGAGTGCTGCAGAGCAAAAATCATTGATTAGTTATTCGTATATTATGTGTATGTATGTATTATGTGTACATATGCATATATATATCGGTATATATAACTGTGCGTGCATAGTCAAATGTCAACGATATCTATACTCGTATAAGTCTAGCGCGTTATTTAAGAATTCCCATCTGACCCCTTAAATCTTTTAAAAGGAAGGCTTTAAAAAAAAAAAGATCAACATTTCATTAATGTTTCATTAATGTACGTACATAAAATGAATTAGATTTTCCAATCATTTCATCTGCTCTGAATTTTGAATTCTGCAGAATTAATCATGGAACCTGAGCGTACGAAATCATTTTATACAAAAAGGAATTTCTAGACTAGGAAATATTGGAAATATCCTGCGTATTCTGCGCCTTTCGTAATACACATACCCAATTAGTTTTCACGTGTTTATGTTACGGTTCATTAGTCAATTTTCAATTAAAAGATTTACTTATTTATTTGGCTAGTTTCTTTCTTTGTTGAATCACTAACTACTAAATGGGTAATTATTTTTTGAATCTGGACCAATTTTACATATGACGTAATAACATTTTGGTCTGGATTCAAATTACCCAAATTTATAAATAACTGTATAAAATAAT